AGCGACAGAACCCCTCACATTCGCTGCTAATGAAAACCAAATTTCTCATTCCTCGGGGCATTTCCAGGGGTTGGGATTGGAGGGGGCTGCTGTGGAGCCCTTGGCCACTCTCCCCACCACCAGAGGGGTTCCACTGTGTTAAAATGGTTTTATGATAATATGGGCCTCGTATTTTTCTAATTTCAGGCATCAGCAAGTTAGGACTGAGTTGTTTGCATGGAAAAAGAAATAAAACCTGTTTGTGGCAGAGAAAGACTGCCACCCCGGCAGGTATCCCCACAGTATACCTGGGGGAGGGAGGTGGCCCAAGGAGTCTGCCATGAAGAGGCCAGGACCCAGGAAAGGGTTGGAGGGATACAGAGACAGGGATTTCTGTCTTTTAGCCATGCTTTGAGAAATCATAGAACCACAATTCAGAAGGGTAGACACATCACTCTTAGAAGCAGAAAAAGGGCTATCAAGCCTGTGTCCTTTCTGCTTCTAAGAAAGTACATTTCTAATTTCTTTTTCTCTTTTTGTCCTCATTTACCCCCATAACCTGCCTTTATAAACAAATATGTGTCATGGGGTACAAGCTCGGGAGTGCAAGAAATATCAGCTTTTGGGCAGCGCCTGTGGCTCAAAGGAGTAGGGCCCCATATGCTGGAGGTGGAGGGTTCAAACCCATCCCCGGCCAAAAACTGCAAAAAAAGAAACATCAGCTTTTCCCCTAAAGTCAACTTAATTTTTACTTTGAGCCTCTAATACCTTTAGCTGGTGGAAAACTTAAACTCAACCTTTTCAGTGAATGCTCTGCCTTTGTCAGGATTGAGGTGGAATTCTGTTCTTGTTCCTCAGTTTTTTCATCTGTAAAATGGGGATAAAGATAGTACATACTTTAATGGGCTGAGCTAAAAATGTCAAAATATTTAGAATAGTGCCTGGCATGAAGTATTAGTACTTTCTTTTTCTTTTTCTTTGAGACATTGTCATGCTCTGTCACTTGGGTTAGAGTGCAGTGATGACTCTCAAATTCCTGGGCTCAAGAGATCCTCCTGCGTCAGGCGTCTGAGTAGCTGGGACTACAGCACCACCACATCTGGCTAATTTTTTTATTTTTTGTAGTGATGGGTAGTGATGTAGTGTAGTCACTCCATTGCCCAGTCTGGTCTCAAACTCCTGGCTTCAAGCGACCTTCCCATATCAGCCTCCCAAAGTGCAGGGATTATAGGCATGAGCCACCACACCTGGCCTAGCTGTTATTATTATTATTCCAAAGATTTAAAAAGGTATCAAACCCTGCATGGGGGTATAACCTGGAGGAGGTGATGTTTTGGCTGACAGGTGAGTTGGTCCTAGCATGATCTTGAACTATTCTGCTTGAACACTTGTCAGTTTAGAAGCTTGATATACTATACCACTAACAAATGTCCCTGTTTTAGAAAACTTGGGAAACAGAAAATTATAAAGAAGAAAATCAAAACAGCTATAATCCCATCTTTCCAGTCATTCATTCTAGATTAGCTCTATTTTTTTTAACTACTTTGATGAACTATGTATACAGTGTGTATCTTGCTAAAAAAGTTTATTCCTAGAAGGTATATATACATTGATGGAAAATAAAGACCTGTATGAGAGAAAAAAAAAATCCAAAATATTTAACTGTGGTTATCTTTGGAGGGGTGGGATTATGAGTCTTTTTTCTTATATTTTCTTTTGTAGTCTGTATTGTCTCCTTTGCCTCCTATGTATTATTTGTGTCATTTAAAAACTTTTTTTTTAGGGCTGAGCCTTTGGCAGTAGGGTGCCAGCCTCATATACTGGAGGTGGTGGGTTCAAACCCAGCTCCAGCCAAAAACTGCAAAAAAAAAAAAAAATTTTTTTTTAAAATTTAATACATAAAACTTGTGAATCTTGGACTCAAAGTATTATAACCTTTACATCTTCAGACTATGGAGGAGAGTAGGGTGGTTGGGCCAAACTCTGAGCCTTGGATTCTCTAGCCTGTCAGGCTGCACGTGGCCTCAGGTGTGGTCAGAAGGTTGTCATAAAGACACTGAGGCAGGACATAGGGCTTATTAAAAATTTGAGGGAGAGCCAGGCCTGGTGGCTCACACATGTGATCCTAGCACTCCAGGCCCATGCACATGGCTCCCCCCTCTTCCCATTTTCTCTGAGGGGGAGGGACACCTCCTCTGAGCAGCCTCACATGTCCAGCCTGATCCACACCGTGTATCCCACGAGTTGGTGCCCCCTGTTTTTCTGTCTATCTGCCCCAGGAGTTCCTGGCTATGATTTCTTCACCTTGCTTTTCCTGGTGCCTGGCACCCAGGGGTAGGGAGGGGCTCAGGTCTGTGTTCGGAGAATGAGTAAATGAACACATGAATCTGGACCAAGGCCTTGAAGACTCGGGGCCCAAAGAGCCTAGTGCAGTGGGGTGGCCCAGACAGCTGCCACCTGTTAGGACATGGAAGCGCTCACAGCTCTTCCCCGCATTCAGGGTGGGCACGGAGGGAAGATGGCGGCAGAAAGCTGGCTCTGGGGCTCTCCACTCCCCTTTTCAGGACGGAGGGCAGGCTCCTTCTGCGGGTGAATATAAACATATAAAACAAACAGCATGCTCTTAGCTGCAAAACTAAAAATAGGAAGCTCGGAATCCGCTCCCCAGGCTCCCCTAACTGCTGGACCACACAGGTGTGGCTGCGGATGTCGGGATGCAGCCCTGGGCCCCCTCCGCCCGCAGCCTGCACGGGGAGCAGGGGGGGCATTCTGGACACCTGCCAGGAACGGTTCATACCTTCCCTCTGGCCTCCCCCGCTCCTGTCCCTTTTGACAGCTCGTTTCATTTACAACCCCTAAATGAACTGCCCCACGGAGGTGCCCTCCCTACTTATGTGGCCAAGCTCGGGTGTTTGGTGCGGCTGGGAGATGCCCTGGGCCTTGCCGCGCTGGGTCAGCTGTTCCTAGGGGTGCAGTCCGGGGCAGGGAGGGGTCTGGCTGAGGAGGGTGGCAGGTCTGGGTCTGTAACCAGCCCTCGTAGTTTCCCTGTTGGCATGTGTCATCATCCTGGCCTGCAGAACCCTGCAGTGACCCTGCCATGGCCGAGCTGCCTCCTGAGGGCAGTGATGTGGCCCTGCTGACTTCACTCTTCAGGAAGCTCCAAGCACAGCCCAGGGGGCCACTCTGGGAACCTTAAGGCTGGCAACACCTCTCTGAGTCCATCGTAAGGCCAGCTGCAGGCTGAGGGCACTGGGGAAACTGAGGGCCCCGGCCACATTGCAGGGATCCCAGGGGTACCTCTGAAAAGGAATTTTGGAGTCTGAGGGCTCCAGGCTCTGGGACCAAATGGCCTCCTCACCCTGGACTGGCTGCTTCACATCTCAAGCTCCAGCTGGTGGCTCAGAGGAGGAGAGCCGGGCTGGGCAAGACTCCAGGAGGTAGGGGTGGCAGGACTATGACATCAACCCTTCCTTCACGCCAGATCCCTATGCTGCTACTCAGGCCTGGCACACAGTAGGTGCTCATTCAATGTGAATAAAATGGAGTCTCAGAGAGGGGCAGCCCCCTAGTTCAAGGAGGAAAAACCTTTCTCCACATCAAGACTCTTCTTGGGCTCTTTTGGGGATAGGTGTCCTGGGTTTAGAAAGTTCTTTCTATTACCTAACCCAAATTCTGGCCGCAAGTGAGGCAGCCATTCTCCAAAGCAGGCATGTCTGCCCTGCCTCCACCTGCTGCCTGGGTGTGCCCACCCTGCTGCCACCTGCAGGCCATCGCGGCTACTGCAGTGCTCCTACAGCCCTGGGGCCTCAGCCAGCCTGGGACTTCTCTGGGCCTTGGCTGGGGTGCAGGCGATGGAGACTGGAGTCGGGGGCTGTTAGTCACATCCTCTCCCACCTGCTGTGGCACCAAAGTATAGCTTCTGGGCAGAGGCTATTATTCCCTTCAAAATGACCCCAAATAAACACAAACAGAAGTAGCGTTGGCCATGTAGACTCGAGCCCGGACTAGCCCTGCTTCTCCCTGGCAGATGCCACCAAGAACAGACCCACAGGGAAATTCTGTGGTGGGTACCACTGGGAGAGGAACCCACTGTCTCCTGGAGCTGAGGGATCATGGGAACTTCCTTTTGGGTGCTGGGTTTTAGGCAGAACAACCCAACTGAATAGGGAAAAGTTGTGGGATTAGTTTTAGAAGCGGCATACTCAAAAATAAGGTGTTTTATGAAAATTCCCCTCCATGAGTCCCACCTGGCCAGGCACTGAGCTGGGTGTTGGGGCCCTGAGAGGGCCAGGCTGCCTTACCAGCAGGCTGGGGAGGAGCTGTCAAGCTAGGTTCCCACACCACTGGCACCACAGCCCCCATCATCAGGCTGTGGGCTCAGCTCAGCCATGAGCAACTCCAGTGAGGCGTGGAACCCCACGGCACCCCCTCCTTGCACTTTAGTCACGTTATCTGCACAATGGGGCCACTGACGTAGTTCCTTGCTTTCAGCCCCACGTGTTAGTAACTTGCCAGTCCTCAGAAGCAGGGCTCTCACCGAGGCGGCTTGGCACTCCCTCCGCCCCCTCTCCAACCTGAGTCAGGGGAACGAGCTGGAGTAGGTGCACAGCAGCTTCTGTTCCCTAGTGAAGACTCACAAACCACTCGTGAGCAGAGGGGAGGGTGAAGGACATCGAAGACCTGATGTTCTGGGGCTTCGGCCACATAGGAGGCCTCATTGGCCATCCTTGTACCGGGGTGGTTGCTGTGACCGTTCCCAATGGAGATAGACACAGGAGGCCAAGGTGCCAGTGTCTCCAAAGCTGCGGTTTAGGCCTGTACCCGCTGCCAGTGGTGGGAGGTCTCCATCCTGCCCACCTGCCCTCCCCTGCCAACCCCCACGCACACAGCCCTAGAAGCCTGGCATTGGGATTTTTTAACACATCTCATAGTTATATTATTGTAACAAATCAGACAAAATTCCATTTTACAGTTAAATAGTACAGAAGATAGACAGTTTACTGTACAAGCCAGTTGTGCATTAAAGACAAACACACTAAGCAAATGATAGTGCAAAGCGGTTTCCACCCCTCCCCACCCTCTTCCCAGCTCGCACGGCTTTGTGGAAGATAGAGTGTGGCAGATAGCAACACCCACCATAACAACAGTCACGTAGGATTTGCAGCCACGACTGGGCTTACAGTAACACTGGTTCAAACCCCCTTTGTTTCCTCCTACTTTTGATGTCAAGTGTGTTTGCCTAATACAACTTTAAAGCAGCCATGTAAATAAGGACCCACTTTTACCAACCCAGGCCGTCTGCACCCGCTATGGGCCTTAGAAACAGACGCCGTGTGGCTGCCATCTCTTTTGGTCAGGGGGTGGGGGAAGAGGGAGAGGGGAGTCAATTTATTTCCTGTCCCTGCTCCCACCAGGGCTTGGGTCTCAGGAAGGGGTAGTCATCTGGGGACCACAAAGTGCTGGGCACTGGGAACCCCCCAAAGGTGCCTCCTGGCCTGGGGCCAGGCTAGAACCAGAGAATAGGAGTGAAGAAGGGACAGTCAATGGATTCAAAGCTACTTCCTGAGAAGGGGTGGAGAGGGGCCCCACATGTTGGGAGGCAGCAGGACACTGCCAGCAGCTATTTTGGAGAGATGGAGACTGCTTTTTCCACTGAGGGCAGGATAAAACTGCAGCAGGAAGGATCTGAAGAGGATCACCAGAAGGACTTCCTAACCTGCCAAAGTGTGTAGCCAGCATGTGGATCAGGCTGTTACTACAGGTTGGGGATGGCACAGCAGGCCATGTGCTTGGACAGGGACAACCACTCAGGAGCGTGTTTTGTAGGGGAGATTTCCACATCCACAGATGTGGCAGAAACAGTTACAAGAAAACCACATGCTCTCTTGCCCTTGTAAGAGTTTTCTTGTCATTTCCCAAAGTGCTAATCCTTTCTAGAACTAAAGAACTCTTGACAGGAGAATTGAAGCAGCCTGAGCCCTTGGGCAAGGCCTGCTCTCTCCTTTGCAAAATTTAGGAGTGCTGCTTCCCCTTGGAGCACAGGGGACTGAGCTGAGGCTGGTGAGTCCCTCACAGCTCCCCTCTTCTGCTGGTACAAAGCCAGCTCGCTCCGCCTCCCACCCCCACTACCAGAAGGCCCACAGATCCTCTAGGACAAATGTCCAGGAACCACAGGTGAGAGCCCAGCATCTCACTCACATTTCCCAGGCTGCCTGCCATCGAGGCTGGCTGGCGGGATGCTGCCTCTTGAGAAGGTAACCTCTTGGTGAGGTGCTGAGATCCTAATCACCCCACACCTCCGGAAGGCGGTGCCTGGGAGCAGGATGTCGGCAATCACAGGGTTTATCTGTAAGAGACCCTGTGTTTGCAAACGTATTTACTGAAGCTTTCTCCGCCTTAAAATCAGTTTTAAAAACTGGCTTTAAGACTGTTTGCTTTTATAGCACAGGAACTCAAACAGTTGCATGTCAAGAGTTAGATTTGCCTGAATCTTCCCTGGAGGCCTAGGGGACAGACCGGCTGCAGGGTGGGACAGCGATGCTGACATTTGACTCAGTGAATGACCCCTCACCCCATGCCTTCTCCTAGGGCCTATCTGGCCACTGTGTTTTCTCCAAAAATGGAAATTAATAAGACCAGTTTAAGGAAAAGGGTCCCCATGAGGACAGAGGGTGAATGCCTTGGGCTGGTAAAGTGCATGGAGGGGCTGGTCTGCAGGCACCTTCCCTGGTTCTAGGGACTTGCTGCTGTACCCTAATCAATCTGCTCTGGGGCCTGGGACTCACAGCAGCTGGGACAGGACCAGCTGTTGAGAACTGTGGGGAATCAGGGCCCAGGCTTAGGTGTGTTCTGCTCCCATCTCTGCCAGCAGTATCCTGGATCCTACCCCCTCTATATAAGGGGGGGGGGAACCCTTCTAGAGCAGGAAAGTTTCCAGTTTTGACTTAAGGGTGTAAATGTAGAGGGAGGGCTAGGCCCACAGGGGCTCTGAGGAAGGCGGAGGGGTGGGGTGATCCTCCCGGGGCCTTGTGGCTTATCCTGGGGGTAAACGTTGCCTTTGTCTGAAAGAGATGGTCCCCTGACAGCACTGGGTCTAGTTGGAGACAGCGAGGTCATTCTGGGGAGGTGGCAGGGGAGGCTAATTTCCCACAAGAGTGTGGACTGAGATGACTAGGGTCAGGGCTAGGGGCAGTGTCCTGGGGGAGGTCCCTGCCCTTCTGTACAGAGATGAGGATGGACAGACGCACTTGCGCCACACAACAGCTCTGGACCTTGGGACCATGACTGCCCTGGAGGGCAGGTCCCATTCCTGCCCAGAGCCTCAGAGCTGGGCCAGTCACTCCTCTGGAAGGCTGTTGGGGGTCCCCGCCTCCAGCGGGAGGAGTCCCAGGGTGGTCAGTAGGGCCGCCACACGGCCTCGTCCATACGGCCTGGCGTGCTCAGAGCTGTGGGCGAGTTGCTGTGGCTGCCATCAGCCTCCACGCCGTCACTCTGGCCACCTAGCGTGGGGTTCATGAGGTTGCCTGCCGCGACAGAGGCAGCATTGCTGGAGCAGGAGGCCAGCATGCGGGTGGGTGAGCGGTCACCGCCACTGCTGCTGCTGCCGGCCACCATGGAGAACTGGTAGGAGCCGGAAGATGCACCGTAGTAAAGGTGGTAGGGGGACGGGTTGGCCTGGAAGGGCCCCGCCTGGTTCTGCGAGGCCCCAGGGTAGGGCGGCGGGAGGTAGGTGTGGTGGAAGCGGCTGGTGGCCGGCATGCCCGCCACACTGAGGCTGCTGATGCTTGTGCCCGAGGGTGTGGCGCTATAGGGGAAGGCCGCAGACATGGCCCCCGGGTAGTGCATCCTGGGGTCAGGGAAGCGGCTCTCTGTGAGGGCAGGCGGCAGCGTTGAGAAGGAGCGGTCAAACTGACGGGGGTCGGAGAATGGGTTCAGGTCCAAGGTGCCTGTAGGACAGCAAAGAGGAGGGTCAATGGCAGCCCAGAAGACCCCGATGACCTCCTGAAGGCTGACTGGGGCTGGGTTCACAAGGCCCAGTTTGGGGGTTCCTGGCTTTAGATCTGGCTCTGCCCTTCCTGTTCTGCCATGCTCTGAACACAGTTCACCTGGGAGGGCACGTCCTGGGCCAGAGACAGCCTGGGAGCCTCCTGAATCCCGGCAGCAGAGGAGGAAAGCTTGCTTTCTTCCCTTTAAATCCTCTTTCCTAGCCTAGGGTAGAGAGGCCTAAGGTGAAAGAGGGGCTAGGGACCAAGTTGGCATGTCCACTGTGAATAGCTATCAAGAACACAGGCGTGAAAAGGGTCTCCAGTGTCCCTGTGAGACTGGGAACTGACCCCTGCTTTTGAAGATAATGAAAACGAGGCAGAGAGAAAGCAAGACGGATTCTCCAGTTGCCCAGAAAGGACTGAACTCATCATGAGGCCTCTCTGCTGGGACCACATGCGTGTGCACGCTCCTGCCCAGGTACAGGTCAGGGAGGGCCCAGGGGCTCATCCTGGGTACCCTGGGTGCAGGTGCTTGGTTCACGGTGGCTCTGCTGCCTCTCCTGGGCCTGTCTCCTTTTCAGCCTAGAGCTGACTGGTGGCTGCACAGTGACCAGGTGCTACACTCGCCAGCCTGTGACAGGCTGGTCACAGAGATAGAGTGTCCAGCCCAGCCAGCCTCTGCCCTGGCTCCCTCAGGAGTTTGGATCCCCAATGGGCCCTAAATTAAGGGTATCATAGCCTCTGCCCCCAAGTTGTAATCACAGAACCCCCACTCCACACTGTAGCATTCGAAGGGGTTTGGAGTTGAATCCCCTTGGTGAGAAAGCTGAGGCCCAGACAGGGCAAGTTACTTAATGTTCTGTGCACTGGCTTCCTTGTCTTAAAAAATGGGGACAATAATAGTTCCTAAGGATCTAGTTAACACACATAAGGTATTTAGAATGGAACTGGGCACAGAGATGGCACCCAGGGTGGCTCTGCACTGCTGGAGCAGCTGTGATACCTCTTGCTCTGGGCATCCAGGAGAACTGGCTTGTTCAGGCCCTGCAAAGATGAGGCCCTGAGCCTGGGCCTGCCTTCCTGTATTCTTCAGGAATGGGGAGGCAGATGAGCCCCCAGCAGCCGTCCAGAGGTGACATGTGTCTGACATCAACCCTTCTATCTCACTCTCCAAAGGATAAGGGCCAAGAAAGGATCTAGGAAGAGACCATCTCTGTTCCTTGGCCCAGCAGGGCTGGTGCTGGCTTGGGGTAGGCAATGCCTACCATGATGGAAGCTTGGCTAAGGTGCCACGTGACCTCTGGTGGGATGTGTGATTTCTTGGGTGCTTTGGGCACTTTCTTTCCAAGTAAACTGGCATGTGTTTCTGGCCGTGGGCATGGATCAGAATGGAATGATGCTTCCAAGCTCATAGGTGGAGGGATGTGGGGATGAGAATCCAGGTGGCTGGGGCCTTCTGGGACATCTGATACTAACTAGTCACCTGGGTGGTCGGCACTGCCTTAAAGCCCAAGGTATCCAAGAGGGCCTGGCTGCCTGCCTTCATCCAGGGACCCAGGGGGAGAAGGCATGTGCCTAGTGGCACTCCAAGCATAGCCGAGCATGAGGCTGACAACATCATGCTGAGTGGAGCAGCAGTGGGTCTGCTCTTGGGACAGTAACGCCATTCTCAAGACAAAGGAAGCCCAGATAGGGAACCTGGAATGTGACAGCAGGACTGTGGCCCAGAGAACACAGACCCTGCAGTTGTGGGCCTGGGACTAGCGTGTGTGTCCCTCAGAGCCCACATGGGCTGCAAGGCTGTGGGCTGGGCCTGCCTGGACCTGTCAACATCCCCGCCAGCCTCCTTTCTTGAGGATACCACCCCTCCTCCAGGGTGGTGAGGGAAGTACCTGCCCTCAGCACTCCCTCAGACCCCCCAGCCGCTTCCTTCTGGCTCCTGCGCCTCTACCATACCTCCACCATCCAGCCTCGCAGCCTTGGGAAACCCGAGCTGGCCGGGCCACTGTCCGGCAGCCAATCCCAACAGTGAAAGGAAATGTTTATTTTCTTCTCCAAATTGCCCCAGCTGCTGTGTGGTGGCTGAATGAGTCCTTTGAGTTGTGAGAAGCCCCTTTTGTGGCTGACTGTGGTTGGGGGCCGGGTGGGGGTATGGGAGGAGCTAGGGTCTCTGTACCCCTTACCAGTGACAAAGGCTGGAGGGGTCAAGCTGTTAACAGGCACCAAGGGAAGTGGTAGTGGGGTTTTCCGAGTGGCATTACCAGAAGGGTGTCTGAAGGCAGAGGAAGGGAGTGTCTGTGAGATTGACTTCCCAAACTTGGGCCTGCCAATGCCCCTCTGTGGTGGCGATCTCCTTCTCTCCACTTTATAGATGAGAAAACTGAGGCTCAGAGTGTGAGTGTCTAGCCTAAGATCACACTGTCAATGCCTGGCAGTGCCTGAATTTCTAGCCAAGTCCACCTTACTGCTAAGTTCAAGTGCCTTCTCCAGTCTGGCTATCCAGGGTCTTTTCTCTACTGGACAGCCCCAGGGAGGGAGAACTGCTATGGCAGAGGGCCACACAGGACACAGAAGTAGGTATGCTGTGGTCCCACACAGGCCAGCATCCTCTGCTTCCAGGCCCAGAGTGGAGTGGGGGCTCTGCTCACTGTGGGGCTGGACAGAGGGTAGACAGGCTGTTTCAGGCTTCTGCGGGCACCAATGCCCAAGCCAAGTCCACTTGACCATGTGAGGGCAGATGTGGACTCTCTTTCCATGGAATCTGGTGGACAGGAAGCCACTGTTCACCCCCAGATGCTGGTTTTGAGCCCCCATACCTTATTGGGGTTGGCTCTGCCTATAGCCTATGAGGGCAGAAGCATGGACATCTATTGGGTAAGGGGCGCATGAGCCAGAGGGCAGGATCCCTCCCAGATCCCCATGCCGCAGGCCCTAGAGCTGAGTGTCTCAAACTCATTAGCCCATGGCTCAGGGCTGGGCCTGGGTTGTTCCCCACCCTGGGGTCTGAGCAGGGCCACAGCTTCCTGAGCCCAGGCCAGATGGAGGGACTTTCTCTTTATGCTAAGGTGCTCCATCAAGCCTGGAATATGTGTCAAGGGAAGAGAGAACCTGCTGGCTCCCACTCACCACAGTGCATGGGGAGAGAGGAGGTTCGGGCAGGCAAGTGCCATCCTGCAACTCTGTTCTGGGCAATTCTTGCTTTGGACCCCCTTCCCTGTGCCCTCAGAAGAGCAGACAGTCTTGAGGGCAGGTGCTGTGGAGACTTCAGACCTGGTGACTGATGGGTCATACCACCCAACGGTGGTCCTTAACCTCTTAGGCCTCAAGTCATTCACCTGTCAAAGGGTTCTGAACAGGCTCTGGTGAGTGAGAAAGGACACAGCATGTGACAGGGCCAGCCCTCCCACCTCTGTCCAGCCCCTTTGCTGAGCTCTCTCTGCCTCTGCCTGGCCCGTGGGCAATGTGCACATAGCCTCCTACAGGCCCGCCTCCCTGACTGCCGGGACCTGGAGGACAGACAGATTTAGCATCCAGCTGTCTGAGAGGCACCTGCCATGTGCTGCGGCTCTTTGAAAGGCCCACCTGAGGTCTAGCTACAGCTGTACCTCCTGTATCCATCTAGGCAACGGGGACAGAGACCCAGTCTCAGTCCTCACTTCCACCTCAGCGCCTTCCTGGATGGGAGGAATCTCAGGGCAGGGTGGGAGATGTTTTCTAGGCAATGCTGTGTGCCTTTCTAGGGCTGGAACATCACTTTCCAGTGAGTAAAGTATGTCTGAGTTCAGTAATGTCAACTGAACATTGGGGGCGGGGGGGCTTAGTGCATACAACAGGGCGTGCCCGTCACAGCTCCTTGGACAAATCATGCCCTGATTTTAACAAGGGAAATATGAGGGTAACCCCACTCCCCCAGGGTACAGTGTGCTCCTGAAGGGTGGAGCTGTGTCCATTTACACTGATCCCTGGGGGCCCCCGAGCACATGTCAGTGGGTGTTTGCTGAGTGAATGAAGGAAAGCCAGCATGAAACAGACCCCAGGGTAGGAGTGAAGGAGCCCAGTGGCCTCCTCCAGAAAACAAGGGCAAACAGCCACTGTTCTTCTGATGGGCTTCTGGTTGGGGGTGGATGGACCCCTGTCTAAGGTCCCCCTTCGACCTCTGTGACCATCCCCTGCCCTGTAGCCCCTGCTGTGCCATACCTTGGATTGGGGTCTGGGCCTGGCTGAAGTGGCTCGTGCTGCTGAGAGAGCCCCGAGGGCTGGGCGTGCTCGGTGTCACTCGCATGCGCACCCGCTCCAGGTCTGCAAAGCGGTCAGGGAACACCTTGGTCTGGTCCTCCAGCTTCTGTCGGTGCCCTGCAGAGCACAGGGAGTCCATCAGCTGCTGGTTTGCAGGGTCTTAGGGGGGAGACAGAAATGCCTCACTCTGCTGGGAAGTTCTTCTAACATCTAACTGTAAGCCTGTGCAGGGAAATCCCTAAGGTCACCACATCACCACCAGCCTCTCTTCTGAAGTTCTCAAAAGACTTTCTGGACAAAGCATGGTTGTGATGTGCCATCCCAGGGCTGCTGTGGTCTCACCCCTGTCTGCGTGAGTAGGACCCATCATTCTTCTTTTTTTTGGCCGGGGCCAGGTTTGAACCTGTCACCTCCGGCATATGGGCCCGGCACCCTACTCCTTTGAGCCACAGGCACCACCCAGGACCCATCATTCTTAATGCAGGAGGGGCTCAGACGGCAGCTCCAGGCCACAAAACCAGTTAAGTAGTAGAGTTAAGATTAAAACTGAGGGTTCAAATCAAAGCCTGTCACCTAAACCTTTATAAAACAGCGTTTAGCAGAAGAGGAAACAGATAACAGGCATGAGAAACTGGCCCAAACATGCTCCCAAGGGAGGCAGGGAGAGAGCCCAGGGGTACAGCCACGCTCTGTCCTGCAAGAGCAAGGGGAGGAGGCCCCAGGATGGACCTGCTGGATGCTCCAGCACCAAGCCACTCTGTGATCTGCAGCACATGCCCTCTCTGCTCCAGGCCACCGCAGAGGGGGATCCACCAGGGCTCAGGGCAGAAGGGCAGGGCAGGGCATGGGAGTGAAGGCTAGACCAGCACACCTGGCTTAGGGCGTCACACATGGAAAAAACCACCAACATGTCCCATTACCCCTCTGCCACGGCACGCACAACAAGAACGCCAGCCTCTACCTCCCAGGCCCCAGAGATGCTGGCAGGGTCAAGGTGGCCAGGACTCTGACTTCTTGCAGCCTGCTAAGGCCAAGGGGACGCTTCTTGAGTGACATCAAATGTGCAGGGACCTCTCCGGCCCCCCACCCTACCCCAGACATACATACACGCTTTTTCAATTACTCATTTTACATTTCACAAGTAATACATGAATATTTATAAAAATAAAAGCATTATAGAGCAGCACATGGCTCGAAGGAGTAGGGCGCTGGCCCCACGTACTAGAGGTGGGGTGGGTTCAAACCTAGCCCCAGCCAAAAACTACAAATAAATAAATAAATAATTAAAAGCATTACAGATAAGGCTCTTTCGACCCACCCTAAGCCCTCACTCAGAAGTCTCTACCATGATCAGTTTTAAAGTTTTTTCCCCTAGCCTTTTTTTGGTTTTACATGCATGGAAAACAAAAACAGAGCAATTTTCTCCCGGAACTTTCTTGAATGGTCTCAGCCTGGGCATGTCATTTCAGTAACTTGCTTTTTTTGCAATGTACCTTGGAGCACAACCTCAGTTTCCTGATCTGTGTAATGGGGAGAGTAACCCAGCCTCATGGGAATCACAGAGCTTCTCTAAAACCCTGGGGACCATCTCTGGCACAGTGAGGGCTCAGCAAGCGTGACAAGGACCACATGCTGTGCCTTTGCTGTCCTCCTCCTTTCTTCTCATGTCCACCAGAGGCACAGTTCACTCTATAGTTCCCTTCTATGGACACTCATGGCATTTCCAAATTTCCTCCTCTGCTCCCCTACATACAGTATTCCAGAATATCCCTGTCCCTACCTCCTGGAGTGCAGGTTTCTCCAGGGAGACCCAGGAACGGACTAATTCTTTAGGTGGCCGCCTGCTCCAGGGCTCTACTGATCAGCCAGTCACTGTCAGAGGCGCTGGCCCATTCTGCCTCACAGGACCCCGAGGGAGGCTGCCATGCAGGCAGGGGCCTCATATCCTCTTTTACTCATAAAGGAACTAGGACTGTGCCTCAGAGAGGCAAGGAGGCTTGCCTGAGGTCACACAGCAGAGAAGGTGGTGAGATTTCCTGGACCTTTAGAAAAGGGGAAGGGCCTAAGAGGGAGGAGTAAGTATGCTTGAGTCCTTGAGCCTGCAGTGACGTGTGAAATTCTCTAGATTGACAGAGAGGGAGGGTAAAATAGAACCCCTTACTGTCTTTCCTGTGGCCTAGAGGAGCGATTCCTGGGGAATTGGAGAAGTGGCAAGTGATTGTTGGCTGCTGCTGGGAATGAGGGCACAGCACGGAGGTCCTCAGATGGGCCTGATTTTTGAGTTTCAAGATGGGAACACAATAAAATCTAGTGGTCACGTGCTCCCGACATGCCTCTGCCACAAGCTCAAATGGGCATTTCTGGGAGTTCTGGAGCCACAGTGGGCTCAGCAGATCACCCAGAACCAGGGAGCCCCACCTTTTCCTCCTATGAGGCCCCAGGCCGAGAACCCATGGACACTGGGCAGTAGGAATGAGACTGTCAGGCCTCTGGCCAGGCCCCCACTGCTGCCTCCTGGGACCCTTGGCAACAAAGGAGAAAGGTAGGCTGGGGGCTCGAACTCAGATGCCTATCGGGGCTGGGCAAGCACAGATGAGTCAAGTGAGACGGGCAGGGACTGGGCAGAGCTCCCAAGTCCAGGCTCAGTCCTCAGCCCTAAGAGGCCTTAGAGGAAATGTTGCCCACACTACTGAGGCCACTGAAAATGGCAGGGACACATGGAGGAGCTAGGGGACAAGTGAACTCAGAACAATCTCAACAGGCAGGAAGCCTACCGGATAGACGTGGAGACCGCAGACTGACCTGACAACAGCTTGAGTGGAAAGGATCTGGGCATCTTAGACAACCACTGCTTGAAGTGAGCCAATGGGGCTGCACAAAAGCTGGTGCAAAACCTCAGGCCTCGTTATTTTCGTCACTGGTGAATAAAGTCCCCTGTTTCTGAGTCACACCGTGTACAAAGAGTGTTTACAGTTATTCCTGCGGAAGGAGGGTGGAGTTCGCAGCCCGCCTGGGTTCGAGGATGTGCCCTGCTGCTTGCAGCCTGGTGGCCTCCTTAAGCTACACTTCTTCCCTCACCCTCATGCTGCAGTGTCCCCATCCTGCTGCCCTCATGGGTAAAGGCGCTGGGTTGCTGAGGGCTGTGGACACTCTGCACCCACTTGAGTTACCACCATTGTGACTGGCGGTTCTAGCCCTGCTTATGCCCAATAAAAGTAAGACTACCACCCTACATTAGATACCAAGGCACTGAGGCCAGGGTGGTGATGCTGTGTCTGGACCACACACCTGGACGGTAGGAGCAGCATTTGCACTCAGATCCCTTGACTCCAAGTCCAGGGCTCTTTTCCTGATACTTTCCTTTTTGATCCCATTATTCAGATGTGGCCACTGAGGCTTCAAGATGAAACCAACACTACGTGGCTGGTCTAGGACCCAGGCTATGAATCTGGCCTCTGAGCACATGCTCCCAACATATGCTGTCCTGCCTTCCCCGCAGGGCAGGGGATTCAGCAGCAGTTTGGGAATTGCTTCCTTGCTGCTGTGGAACAGCAGTGCCACTGCCAGGGAGGGGGAAAGGGAAGCCCATGTGGCCAGGGCGCCAGAGAGTCTCAGAGACACAGGGCTAAGGCCTTCACACAGGGGCAGAACGGAAGTCCCTGTGCCTGAGGATAGAAGATGGGCCTCAGAAAAGGCCTCTTTCATTCAGCTACTGGAGAGAGAGTTTGGTGGGGAGCTCAGGCTCCAATGCATTTGGGTCATCTGGGGCCAGGCCCTGATGTGCCCCGTGCCTCAGTTTCCCCTCTGCACAGCCTGCTCACACTGCCTCCCCCATCTCAAAGTCCCTGACTAAAGATCAGCCAGGCATGGTGGCTCATGCCTGTAATCCTAGCACTCTGGGAGGTTGAGGCAAGTGGATTGAGCTCAAGAGTTCAAGACCAGCCTGAGCAAGAAAGAGATCCTGTCTCTACTAAAAGTAGAAAAACTAGCCAGGTGTTGTGGCAGGCGCCTGTAGGAGGCTGAGGCAAGAGATCACTTGAGTCCAAGAGTTTGAGGTTGCTGTGAACTATGATTTCATGGCACTCTACCAAGGGCAACAGAGTGAGACTTTGTCTCAAAAAAAAAAAAAAAAAATCAACTGCTGGACAAATGGCCCCAAAAGGGAAGAGGGCAGGGCCACTTGCCCTGGGGCCCACACATGCCATCACCTCTTCCTGCTGCTGCTGTTCCTAGTGTTTCTTGAATATTCTCTACCCCCCACACTTCAGAGCCTCAGCTTAGGGCAGCCTCTGCCAAAAATCCTTTCCCACCCAACTCAAGGACGCTTCCTCTAGGAAGCCTCCGTTTTCCTACCACGGAGCCCTCACAGCACCTCTGCAGGCTGAGACTGCCTTAGAAGCAGTGGTTAGCAGGAGCAGGAATCATAAAACAGCAGCAAGGGCTTCTTCCACTGCAGTGTCTAGGCAACTGACGTGCATAGCCCTGTTTTACTCTACAGCATCCTTATGAGGCAGGCCTGCTTGTACGGGTAAAAAACTGAGACTCAAGGACACAGAAAGCGACCTACTCTCCCTGGAGCCCATCTCTCTGGAAAGGACTGGATCTTGACAGTCAGGGGCTCCACAATAGGTGTCAGGGCCCCACCAAGGCCAGTGCACATAGGTGCTCTCTGTGTGCTCAACCACAAGGTTGGGCGTGGGGAGAAGATGATGAGAAGGTCTCAGTGGACCCCACCAGGGGCCCTGCTCTGCTCTGAAGCTCAGGGTTGTGAGTCCAAGTCTCCAGTTACCCCCTGCTCTAACCTACCAAGTGCCTCAGATCCTCTGGGCCTCAGTTTCCACATGAGGTACCCAAAGGCCACCTCTCAGTGGTTATCACAGTGTCTAAGCTCCAGGGTGTTGATATGCTGGAGAGCAGATCACTCATTTTTAAAAGAAGGGATAGAGAGCAGCTGGGGAAGGCCCCGCCTTGGCCCATGGGGCCTGGCTTGAGCTGCTACCGGTTTCAGTGCTGGGCTCACATGAGACAGGTCCCAAACGGAGATCCAGCCCCAAGGGTCATACCAGATGGCTTTCACCCACCAGTGGTCTTGGGCAAGCCACTGTCCCTCTGGGTCT